TGAACTCGAAGCTAATTTAAAACGTTTATCTTTCGGAGATTCAGTGGAATCATAGCTGGGAAAATGTGAAAAAGTGGCACACACATATTTGTTTGTGAAAGGCGACATAACCTCATACTTATATATTTTATTGCTTACCTATTTTCTTCGCTAGACATTTTTAAATATTCGCGTTAATGCAGACACACAAAATTTAACTAACTGGTCGGCCTTTGTGAATATTAAAGGAATAATTTCTGCAGAATTTTCGATAAATCTATGAAAAGAAATGCAGCAAAATCAGCAAGTAAAAATTATCATTAATACAATTAACTTGGATGCAATTGGATCTGAAAAACTGCAGGGTTGTATGCAACCACAGCTGCAAGTTACTACTTTTTTCTGTTTAACCAAAAGGCCTATTTTCCAAATCCAATACTTTACAACACTGCAAACAGTTTAAGCTGGAACTCCATAGGAAAGCGTACGTGTGCGTATGAGAGATCCGTTGGAATGCGCTTACGTGCGTAAAAACTTAGCAACTTCATTGCAGAATACATACACATTTTAATACATATTTATAAAAAAAACATGATGCAATAATACAGGTGTTATCAGTTGGCAACTTCTCGCTCTAATTCCGCCATATTGACTGCCTTACTGGCCGTCTCCACAGGATAAAATTTATTGCTGCCCAGCTGTTGTTGTTGTTGTTGTAGCAGCATACAAATTCCCCAAAGACTTTTTGGGGAGTGTTGCTGTCATTTTGGTCGCTAGATATAAGTTATATCAGCGGCAATATTTGTGTGGGCTTTTTTATATCTTGATATAAGCATTTGTATGATAGCTTCGAAAACGTATTTTTGCCGGATTTAATCGCTTAAAAAATTTAAAAAATAGGCTATTTTACAACCAAATACATAATTACAATTATTTTAACAGGAAACAGCTCAATTTTTGCTTTTATATTAAAATAAAATAATAATTGAAAATGTAGCTGTCAAACTACCAAATTGCCGGCAATAGATGGCAAGATATAAGCTCTGATATATATTGCTCTCGAAGAGCAATGAGCGATCTCCATTGGCAAATTATATTCTGACATATGTATCAAGATATAAACTTTATCCTGTGGAGACGGCCAGTTAGGTGAGATAGTGTTACTTCTTTAACAATTCTCTGCCTAATAATATAGTTGAATATTTTTTTCATTTTTACTCGGTATACACATTTTTTTTCTTAAAAAGGTATTTTATCTTATTTTATTTCATTTCATTACGAATATACTATAAAAAAGCAAATTTTGTTTGGGAAAAAATTTGAAATTTTATATTTTTCCCCAAATGGGGCTTAATTTCTTCCCGTTTTTCTTCTCGTTCTACTGAGCTAAGGCAGTGTCAAATCGAGCTGTCACAATTGATACCACCTTGTATTATTGCATCATGGCCTTATTATACTTTTTTTGCTCCTCATTAATTGCAACCATGCAATGTTGTTATCAGACTTTTTTTGTTGCATAAAAACTGGAGAATGATAAACAACGATAACAGTTGCTAATATGAAAATTAATTAGAATATTTTTGTTTTGCAAAACAATTTGATTTCCGTACCTGCAAATACAATATTCGAATTGGAGCAACACTTTTGTATCTTTATATCATTACGCCAATCGAGTGTCATAAGAAATCGTATCGATCAATTTATTGCCAAGCGGATCAAGGGTCAGGGTGCAAAAATCGCAATATACGTAATTCAAACAAGTGTAATTTGTGCTCGAGCAACCAAAGCAAATTTAAATCATGTCTTTTGGAAAACTAGTTGGCTCAATTGATGAAGGCACCACGTCCGCCCGCTTTATGATTTTTCGCGCTGGTACAAACAACGTCGTATGCTATCATCAAATTGCAGTGCCATCTATTTATCCACAGGTTTGAATAAGAAAACTTGAGCATAGAATTAGTTGTATTTTTAAATACCACTTTTAGGAAGGCTGGGTGGAACAAGATCCCATCATCATATACGATTTGGTTGTGGAATGTATGGAAGAAGCCGTAAAAAAATTGGAAAAATTAGGAGGATCAATTAAGGTAAATATTTAACTCTCTAAACAGCTATACATTTATATCGCACGTTTAATAATATACAGAAATTTCAATTTTGTGGGAAAACACAAAGTTTGATCGACTAATACAGTTGGTATCATGCCGAAACATAAAATTTAATTACATTGCTGATATTTTTAAAGCTAAATATATAAAATCCACAGCAATTATAACGAACTACAACAACAACAACAACATTTTTTTTTTAATTTTTAACCTTTATAAGGGTGATTTTTTAAGAGCTTGATAACTTTTTTTTTAAAAAAAACGCATAAAATTTTCTGGAATCGAACAAATTGAAAATTAAATAAATTAAGTCTAAAATAAACTATTCCTATTTTAATGTTGAAACTCTGCGGCTAGGAAGCGTATTTTATTCCTAAATTATTTTATTTTTTAGATCTGCAAGACTTTTGATTTCTATAGATTATTTTTTTCAGTCTAAATCGGTCGTGAGCCTTGCCCGCAGGCAAAACTCATTTAAGCTTTCTTATATGTGGTCTCGTGCAGAGTAAAAGCTCTCTCTGCCCATCGCTGGTCTAAATGAGTTCTTTTTATGCAAAAAGCTTGAATCTATGAAAAAGATTGCCGCAGCTGTTCATGTAACAGAAGTTTTTTTATTTACCCATTGCAATTGTGCATTACAAATTTCTTGTCTTTGACAATCTGATAATCTGTTATACAAATTTTTTACAAGAAAATTCACAGACTATAATTTGTTTTATAAATTCGAGTACAAAGCAAGTGGAATTATTTCAATGTGTAAACAACTCAAGCCAATAAAGCTTTTTCCCTAAAAGAGAGCATAACATCAAAATTCGAGGAGCATTTTTAAGTTTAGTTATTAAAACAAATTCTACTGCACATCGTTATGAATCACGACAGAGATTTTGTACAATTTGCATGCCTGGAAGGACAACTACAAAATGATGGTTTTCTTTGTCGAAATTTTTAATTTGGCTACTACAACGTATTTAATAATAATTTTCACAATTTGTAAAGGCCGATCGAAGAGATAGTATGGCGGTCTGAACTGTGATTTCGTATTCTAGAGCAGTTCAGGTATTATTTCAAGTTTCCAAAATTACGAAAAATGCATGAAAATAAGTTTTAAGGATTTTTTTATTTGAGGCACGTTGTTCTTGAATACGATAGCAAATTTACGCTCCGCCTCGCACTACAGGAGCTGTAGAAACGAGGATAACGAAGCTAGGTCGTAATTTTTTCAGCGTGAGTCCTATTCAAATTAACTAAATTTAATTAAAAATACTTGGAATTGGATGTTTTGCAAAGCTTGCGAGTCATACAATCCATGTGATGATTGGCAGTGGTTCTTTCCGGCGATTAAAGAGTGTTAAACAGCGAGATGTACTTGCTTTTTCAAAACGCCTCTAGAACTGTTTTATGGATAGGATTTTTTTCCATATACATATTGAAAGTAAGGATACATTTATCCACTACTTAAATTGTTATATAGTAGAATTATAATAAGTGGCATATTTTTTGTAGGTTCACTGTAGGCATTTCTTTGTAATGTGTGATTTTTTAAGAGCTTGATAACTTTTTTTTAAAAAAAAAAACGCATAAAATTTGCAAAATCTCATCGGTTTTTTATTTGAAACGTTAGATTGGTCCATGACATTTACTTTTTGAAGATAATTTCATTTAAATGTTGACCGCGGCTGCGTCTTAGGTGGTCCATTCGGAAAGTCCAATTTTGGGCAACTTTTTCGAGCATTTCAGCCGGAATAGCCCGAATTTCTTCGGAAATGTTGTCTTCCAAAGCTGGAATAGTTGCTGGCTTATTTCTGTAGACTTTAGACTTGACGTAGCCCCACAAAAAATAGTCTAAAGGCGTCAAATCGCATGATCTTGGTGGCCAACTTACCGGTCCATTCTTGAGATGAATTGTTCTCCGAAGTTTTCCCTCAAAATGGCCATAGAATCGCGAGCTGTGTGGCATGTAGCGCCATCTTGTTGAAACCACATGTCAACCAAGTTCAGTTCTTCCATTTTTTGGCAACAAAAAGTTTGTTAGCATCGAACGATAGCGATCGCCATTCACCGTAACGTTGCGTCCAACAGCATCTTTGAAAAAAATACGGTCCAATGATTCCACCAGCGTACAAACCACACCAAACAGTGCATTTTTCGGGATGCATGGGCAGTTCTTGAACGGCTTCTGGTTGCTCTTCACTCCAAATGCGGCAATTTTGCTTATTTACGAAGCCATTCAACCAGAAATGAGCCTCATCGCTGAACAAAATTTGTCGATAAAAAAGCGGATTTTCTGCCAACTTTTC